CATATACTGCAACATATATGTTTATATACTGTACATATGTGTTGATATATAACATCTATGCTATTTATTAATAAATACAAGTTAACTAATCTAAAATATAGTAATCTAAAATATTCTAAAAATGTTAATCGTGGTGGTGTATAATATGCTCATGAAATTAAAAGGCAGCTGTCACCCTGACCTGCATGACTTGACAAGGAGAACATCCAGATCACATAAATGTTCAGGTTAATTTAGTTTTAACACGGGGAGGGGTTCACAACTGGTGTACATCAAGTTGTAAAAACAAGTTAAAATTTTTTTTGGCATTCCAAATAGCTAATTTGCTAGACATCAATTGCCCTTAGACCTTTATTCATGTTTTACTCATCAATGTCACTAGTATGTGAGTTTCTGCTTCTTCTACACCATCATGGAGTGTGACATAAACGTGTGCTCATACATCACAGTCACTTAGAAAGCCTGCAGTATTGTTCAAATTTCGGCAGTAGCAGTGAAGTGACAGAATGTAGTGTTGTGTCTGTGTTGTATTTAGTTTGTTACTCCATTTACATTGGCTTAGTGCCAGAAGGCCCCAGTCCAGTTTCACTCCGTAGGAAAAACAACACGTCAGGAGAGTGAGGCTCCAGAGTCTGGCCTCTGCCGTTTTCTCTGAATGCTTGGCTCATACAGTGCAAGGGCAAAAGAGGCTGAAAAAACATGCCATTATAATCTGTTGCCCTCCACGGAAGTGTATGTGATACTTAATATTCCATTCCTTCCATGTCCAAATACAAATGACCTCTAATGTGGGGTAAAATCTTCAAATATCTCTATATATCTGCATCAGTGCCAGGGAGACAGGTCACACGTGGCTGGCCTTGCAGTTGTGTTAGAGCATTATTGGTCACGAAGGTTTTCCAATATCAGATGTCACGTGTTTTATTTTGTTTTCTAAAGACAGCTGGGCTTAAAGGGATTACTTACTTGCAATTTGTAATTCAGAGTTATTTTCGCAGCTGCTAACCATTTGTATGAGAGCATATTATTTATTCAATTTTGAGGTAGTTGTTTTTGTTTCAAATCAAGTTGTGAAAGTGTTGCTTCCTTGTCAGTGATGCACAGCAGGATTAAACTTACACAGTTTGTTGAGATCCTAATAAAAAAGAAGACTTGCCATACCCAGGGAAGTAAAAAAAAGCATGCAGGAAACATACGTATACAATGTTATCTTTTCAAAAATGTTCATGATTGCTTAGCGTTCCAAAATATTGCAGATAACTCCATATCTTAGTATGAGCAGTGTTATGTTCAAATTTTGTTTTGAACTTTCAGAATTCACCAGAATTGCTTATCGTTAAAATATGTAATAATTTACTTACCTCCAAATCATGTTGTTTAAGTAATATATTGAAATGACTTGAGATGATATATATTTTACATAGAATTAGTCTACCAAACAATTTCCTCATATTATTCTGTGTGTGTGATGATGGCAGGAGCTACAGTACAGTACCTTTGCTCTCTGCATAGTTTTCTTTACTTTTCTGACTGAGGGTGTTGATGGAAGAACCAGGAGTCTTGCCCATAGAATTCCCACAGAGTCAAATAAAAGATTCCCACGCCACCAAACAAGCCAATTAATTCACTTCAGCAGACTCCAAAGCCAATGAAATATGTCAATCACTGTCAGGCACGTCTGGGGCATTTCTGAGAGATAATGTGTAGACAGGAATCAATTGCATGTGATTTGGCACTTTCAGTTGGAGAGATGCAGAAAAGATTTATAGCCTTCCAATCACATAGCTACCTCCACCCGCTTGGCTTAGGTACTGTACATAAAGTTAAAATGGCATTTCTGAGGACTTCATGCTAAAAGTGATTCAGATTTTTAGATTTCATTCTACTCTGAATATTAAAATCAAGAAAAAATGTAGCAACACATATTTTGTATAATATGATAGCTAATCAGCATGATATTTTAAAAAAGAGAACCTTTTTTGTGTTTCTATTTTCTCACTTACTATATGCATCCATGCTTCCATTATCACAAACCCACTTATCCTAGAAGCATAGAGTACAAAAAGACAAAACCAAGACCCTAAAGCTGTGTGGCAGTTGGACTAATTTATATTCCACCATTTGACCCAGGTACCTCAATAAATGTACAGTATACAAAATGTCCTTCTGTCTTAACAGTGCTGGTTACATTTTTGTTTTCATTCTTAAACTCCAGTGCCTTTTTTATGAACGGTTAAGCTTCTGCTGCAGTTGATAGGGTTATTTCTTGCAAAATAAAGGAAAAACTTTTAATTTGTGAAATGAAGTAAAAACTTTTCATTGGGGAAATGAAGGAAAAACTTTTCATAATTGTGACATCCGTAATTAAGGACTAAATTAAAGTAAGTGAAATAAGTAAGTTTCTTCCATTACTTCAAAAACAAAAGCATATTTTTAAAGCTTATTTGAAATATATTCTCTGATTTTAAACCAATTTTAATATATTCATTTTCTGAACATGTTCTTTTAAGTCAATCTGCATTAGAGGTTAAGTTTTAGTTTTAGGTTTGGGTCCTTTTACTTAGTTCATAGCAGTTTACTTACTACGTGAATTAATTTCACAGTTATTTAATACAAAGATTTCTATCTCGGTTGATTCCAGTGTTTAGTTCCTTACAGTTGTAATGGCAATCACACAAATTGGAATAAAGTGTTTAAATTCCTAGTTTGTTGCTTTAAAAAAAATATATTGTAGACTGTTTTATTTATGTAGTGGAATAAAGTACAGAAGGGTGGCATGGTGGCGCAGTGGTTAGCATTAGACCTCGGTTGTTGTCTTTGTGGAGTTTGTAAGTTCTCCCCATGCTCATGTGGATTTCCTCCAGATGCTCTGGATTCCTCCCACAGTCCACAGACAAATCGGTAGGTGAATTGGTTTCTGGGAAAATTGGTTCTGGTGTGAGCTTGTGTGTTTGTCTGTGTGTGCCTTATGATGGACTGGTCTCCTCCAGGGTATACCCTGTCTTGTGCACCCATTGCTTGAAGGGATAGGCTGAGGCTCCTCTACGACCCTGAGCTGGATGAAGCAGTTATAAAATGGATGGGTGGATAAGGTACAGAAGCCTAGTTTTATTGCTGAGAACTTTGCCACCAGCCCGTGAGAATACAGAAAATTATTCCACATACAGTAGAATGAATGTGTGCTGGTTTTAAATCTGTCCTTTAAGCACTGGCTATCTAATTAGAACAACACCTTCAGATTGGCTTGGGGATTTGTTTTGTCTTTCAGTTCAAACTATTCATTCTGAAATTGCTTTTACACACTCCATATACAAATAAATTAAAAAAAAAACATAAAAATCACAGGTTCCTCTTTAACATTCTGTAGCCTACACCCGAAGAAGGCTCCACAGCCGAAATGTTGTGTTTTCTTTCTTCTCTTTTCAGCATGGAATAAACCTATTACTTGTTCCTGTTACTGATATGTGTTACAATTGTTAGGGTCAAACTAGAAGTTCAGTTAGGATATTTTTATACCACTCATGATTCATTAGAATTAGCGCCTCACTTATTTTGCCAGGCGAATATACACAACAACAATCTTGAGACAAGATGTTCTTCCAGAAGAAAGCTTCTATGTATATATTGGGTTAATTAAAGCCACTGTAAAACCAAATTGAATGTTCTGCATATTTCACCATATTATTGGCAGGGATGTTTGGAGTATCTTGACTAATTAATTTAACCAAGGTAAACATACTTCTCTCCATTCCTAAACTGCTGTAATCAGTGAGGGTGGTGTGCAGTCCAGATGAAAGTAATACTAATTCACTGTCAGCTGAAAATAATATTCCAGTAATAACATGACGTGTTTTGTACTGTATGTGTGTTTTTACATGCAATAACAAAATAGCTTTCAAATAAAAAAAAAATACTTTTATAAAGAGGTCTTGAATGTGAATTCCAGATAATACACATCGGAAAATAGTCAGACGTAGTCAGACATTGGTCTTATGGATAGTATTGTTTATAACTCACAGTGTTAAGATTTTACTGGAGAGAATTGAGATATAGAAATACTGTATCACTAGTAAGATAAGTATTGTTATAAGTTCAATGTTGAAATAATATTGCAAGAAAACACATTAACAGAATATCACTAAATGTTCAGAATTTTAAAATGTAATTATAATAATCTTTTAAATTTCTCAAAACATAAACTGCATGCTTAAGATTCTTTGAAGAAAGTGATGAAAGTAGTTGGCAGTTTTAAGAGAAATTCCAGAAAAATAGGCTATCCGATCTATGACTATTTCCAGATATGCTGTCAATTACGTTAGCTGGATCTGATCTGTAATGCTGTTTCCAGAGGTGAAAACTGGACTCGAACCAAAATGAATTATGGTAATTTGCAGAGTGTGTTGGTATAATGTTTAACAGCTCGAAGTCTTGGCTTTTGGTCACAAAATAAATATTTTATCTTTATCCTTCATAAAATGCTTCATACTTCAAAATAATTGGGCAAGCTGTCAGTGTGTATTGACAGGGCACAATAATGCAGCATTACTGTTTGACTAAGTACAGGATATTTTTCATTCAGTACCATTCATGAGAAAAAATATGTAATTACTGTTTAAATACTTGCCTCATTGTTACATATTATACCTGTACTCTTTGAAAGGGTCAGAGTTTGTGTACTGCATAATTTGGTGAAAAGTGTAGAAATGGACAGGAGGAGTGAAAGACTTTAAAATCATTTAATAAACCTATTAATTATCTCTGTTTTACAAAAAATCCAAAGTAATTATTAAACTTGGTTTGTTATTATATTTAAAGCGTAAGATTATTTCTATTTATAAAAAATAAATCGATACACAATTATGTCACGACTTGGAAGAGATCCCTGCCACACTGCACTTGAGTAAAAAAAGATTATAGACCTTTTCTGCTGGTAATGAGATACTTACATAAATACTGTAAATCTTTGGAATGTATTTTATTATAATTTTTTTTTTTGACAGATTGACTGGCCTGCTTCTAAAGAAAGAACAGAATTGTGCAAACTAGCTGGAAAAAATACACATGTAAGTGTAATAATTTGTGTGTAATTATACCCTTTAGGTTTCTTTATACTGTATTCCAACTAATAGACATGTTATCACATTACCAATATTTAGTGCTCAGACGTCATTGAGTCAAAGACATGATTATTGTTACCCATTTTCTGGAAATCATTTAACATTAAAGGTGAGAATCTAAAAGGACGTAACACAAAAGACAAGAAAACTTTTTTGCTTTAAATATTTTGGAGAATGCATAGACTTTTGCACAAGAGCAAAACAGTTGTGGAAGATACGCTATCGGTATAAATCCCAAAGTTACATTATTAAGATGCTTTACTTGTTAATGTCTGGCAGGAAATCTGCTTCCCTTGCAGATATGTAAGCCAGATATTGTTGATGTTTTTTTTTTTTATATCATAGAGAAATTGGTTTACTTTTCTTTCTACTTTTTGATTAGCTGTGATTTTTTCAGTGTGACTGTACTCCTTTCCTTAGTTAACTAAGACTTTTCACTTTCTCCCAACAGACAGAGTGTGCAAACTTCATCAGGGTTCTACACAACTATAACAAGACCCATGTATATGCCTGTGGCACAGGGGCCTTCCACCCCATGTGTGCTTTCGTTGAAGTTGAAGGCCGTGGAGAGGTAAAATAATCTTAGTCACTGATGGCTGAGGTTTGCAGTGCATGGCAGAAACTGTGCTGGGAGCCATTCCTCAGCTCTCATCAAAGATATTGGTTTGACATCAAATTTTACTTGTAGATGCCTAAAATAAAACCGTTCGTTGTTTCAGTAATTACTGAAGCTAGTCATTGTCTTGGAAGAGAGCTGTCTGTGCAAATTATAACAAACAAAGTATGCTGACAGCTCACCGAAAAAGCAAACTGTTCCTTTACAATTCTGTCTTTTTCATATACTGTACACATACAGTATATCCATTGTAGCTACCTGCTGTAGCCTTGTTCTAACAACTCCAAAAACAGTTAAGCAACCACCTCTCCTAAATCTATGCTATCCCATGATCTCCTATTTCTATAAAGATGATCCTCTTGTTCAAATTATTGTTTCGATAACCTTACATATAATACAAAACTGGAGCAGGTAATTATAGACCAGTATGTCTAATTTGACTTATTGCTCTGTAATTACAATACCTGCTTCAGTTTTGCCACCCTTTTTATATACTGCTAGAAGGGTTTTGTTAATGATCTATTTTAATGTCTCTTGTAACCCTAAGTACAGCGGGTAGAATAAAATTATGCGTGCACATCATTGTGTGCTTCTAGTACCTATAATACTTTTCTTTCTTCTGGGTATACAGTATGTATTCCTTCTTTGGTAACCACCTCAGTTAAATTAATACAGCTGCCATTATACTGTCAGTATCCTAAAATATCCCCATCTTTAGCTCTACGATACTTTACTAACATACTTTACTGTGTAAATATACTATTTATTTTAGTTTCTATTGCAATATTTCAATGTATAAATTGACCTTTCTAACAGCCTTTTTAGCCTGTGCTTGCAGTTTATGTATTCTTTTCCTTTAACTTGATTTTGTTCTTTCTGATTTTGTCATGCACTACTGTATATAGACAACATGAAATACTTACTAAATCCAGTTAATGTTTTATATGTTCAAATTTGCTTTGAAATCTTTATTTTTACTTGTACATAAACATTTTTCCTATAGTCATTTCCACCACTGTAGAACAGTGTTTCATTTTGTCTTCCACAACAGGAAACTACATTCCATTTGAATACTCACAGTGTCGAATCCGGTAGACTGAAATGCCCCTTTGACCCACAGCAGCCATTTGCTTCGGTTTTAGCAGGTGAGAAATAACCTCAGGATTACATTTGATCCCAATCTGAGTCAAACTTCAGATTAGCCTATCCAGTTTTCCACTACTGGTCTGGTGGTATCAGGCAAATATTAAATTTTAAGTGTATACAATCAAATGCATTCTTTAAAATGAGAAAAGTAGGTTTGGAATGCTACTGAGTATGTCTGATATTCACAAACACAGAGATAAGAATGGAAAGTTTGTGAATTAATTTTCTGCATGATCCATTTTAGCTCTAAATTTAATATAGAACAAATGTAGTGGGACAGGACATTAGGAGAATGTATTGGCCTTTCCTATGACAGATATAATAAAACATAATCTTTCTACATTTATCTGCCTGAATTATTTAATTAGGTAGAGATATTTCTTTTGACCTGTATTTTAAAGAATTAATAGGTTCTCATTCTCATTAATTCACCATGAATCTTCCCTGTTCACCATATGTAATGGAAAAGCCATCAGTTTGAAGTTGGGGGGTCCCAGGCTATGTTATTAAGGAAATGAGACAGTGTTCAGTATCAGTTTCTTTTATAATGAGGGACATGATTTGTGACCATGACTCTAGCAGAAGATCATTTATCCTGCCATACAGATTTGAGTGGTGACAAGTGGTTCTTCATGGGCTTCAGAAGTTTTTGTTCTCCTGCTGCTAAGTCTCTGTCGGAGTGAAGCTCATGTTCAAAAACTCCCAGAGTCTTATAGACACATAAAAAAAATATAATTTATCTACATTAAAGTAACTCATAATGAGCATAAAATACTGTTGTCATATGTCCGTTTTCAAAAGTTGGTATATATTCACGGGGTAAAAGAGGTGAAGAGTTCTTACTCTTTCATACATAAATCAAGTTCCACTATTTTTCCCAGTATTCAGCAATTTTGGTTCACACACATTTACTAGACAATGCCCTCCTAAAGAAATCAGATATAGTATTAAGTATTATTGTGAATGCCAAACATTTTGTTCAACATAGATGATTTGAATTTAAGTACATGCACTGAAATATACTTTGATATATTTTCAGATATATGTTAATACATCATATGAACATCTTATTTGGAAAAACATCATGTACAGTAGTTTGAGCATGAGGTTCTATCGCCATGAATTGTACAAAATGGCAACACTAATACATATACATTTTGTCATATTCAGAAAATTTTGTCTTGTGTCTCTTATGTAAAGAACAAAAGCAAAAAATTGAAATGCCTCTAATTAATTCTTAGAGTTCCAAAATACACACCTTTTGTCCTTTACATAATAACATAATTTCACCTTTTCTGAAACCAAGTGTTGGTATAGTACTCTATAGTTTTACTGTCAAATATTTATCAAATGTAAAATATGAAGAAAAAATTATTTCAGCCTTGTGGAGCCTTTTCAGGTGATATTTAATGTTTATTTTCTGACATGGTGATGTTTTTTCTTTTGAACATGGAATTAACCCTACATATTCTTATGCAGGCCATATGCTGACACAGCTCCTCACTTGAAACCTTTAATTTAAAATCAGCTTTTTTGTATTACATTGATCTAAACTGGAAATCCTGCCAGTGTTCACACAACTTTGTCATTGGTCAGTCATTTTATATTTATCGTCATAACAACATGCATAACAGTACAGGCTATATTGCTCTACTGCATTTTTAAAAAGTGAGAATATAATGTGTGGGATGACATAAGATAAGGGGTTCAAGACAAGCTGTTTCGTGATTGTCTGGTTTATTTTTTATTTCCTGTAGTGTGTATGAATGAACGACTGTCTGGCTTTTTAGAAGTGCTTTTGCATCACTGCGCCTGAAGTGAGTGAAAATAAATCTGCTGGGGCGAATAACTGCTGTAAGAAATGTTAAGGGTCTTTCAACAGTGCTCCTCCCTGGATGGGCAATGGTCCTTGCTGGTCTGTCAGCTAGGCAAACACTAATTATTTAACTCATTTCTCATCATGACATCCAGCTTTCTGGAAAAATGCTATTGTTGCTTCCCTGAAGAGGACCCTGGCTGTCTGATTGATGTATCCATAAACACTCGGTATAAAGGGTGATTGAAAGGAATGATAATAACAGTGGTTATGATTCCTCTTTATTTATTTACCTAAAATACCATTGTTTGATCCAATACCATCCATGTACCTGAGGAAACTGCAAGACCTAAGTCAGTATCTTTCATTAACTCAACCACAGTCTTTCAATACATTTTTTTCTGCAAATGGCCAAGGTAGAAGTGTTCCCTGCAATAGCAAAGTTCTAATATAAACAATAAGAAACAATTGCTGCAGTCATGCAGTGGATGTTTTTTTTTATTTTTACAGGTCATGGCTGTTCTTTAAGTTTGGCAGAAGTTATTATTTTCTGTGAATTCTAAAACAGACAATGATGCAGTTATGCTTTGACAGTTCATTCTTTTGTTGTTTCACAGTAGAATAGAGGATGACACACAGATGGCAATTCTGCCATATGCTCTGTTGTTCACTATCAGTTTGTGTAGTTTAAACTACACTTTTATTTAACAGGTTTATTAAGAAAAGCAACGTTCCAGTATTAGGGAATAAGTAAGCATCTCATAAGTAGCAAATTGTAATCATTATAAGACTGTGTTAGTAGCTGTTGAGCTAATCTAGATGATTGAGAATTTTTTTTTTAATTAATTGCAATGGGTAGGCAACTTATTAAGGGAATTAAAACTAAGTTTTCAAAACTTATTTCTCCAGTTAAAAATATATCACTGCTTTTTCATTTTTGTCATTTTAACTTCTTACTTGTTCTAATGTTCCTGTGTTTGTTTGCATGCATTTGCAAGAGAATTTTAGGACTTGGATTAAGTGTTATTTTTGTTGTCCATCCTATCCTTTTTCTCGGCCAATAAGAAATTTGTTTGTCTATTGATTTACAGACAAATACCTCTATGCTGGAACAGCATCTGATTTTCTTGGCAAGGACACAACGTTTACACGTTCGCTTGGACCCTCGTATGATCAGCATTACATAAGGACTGATATTTCTGAACATTACTGGATAAATGGTAATGCCTTTGAATTCTAACTTCCTGTCTTCTCAAAATCAGTATATTCTGCTTTGCTGTTGCCTTTCTGTTTGACTCTTAAAATCATTTTTGCTAAAAGCAAAATTGATTCTTTCAGAACTATATTACAATCTATCTTGAATAAACACAGTAGTTCTCCAATCAGAAAACATCAATGATCAATAATCTTTACTTTGCTGTTTTCCTGTAAACCACCATAGCTGGGTTCTACTGATCCAGACTATCACACTTTCACCTATGAACAGAGGGCGAAATTAGTTGGTTTTCTTCAAACCACTAGGTGACCTTTACCTTTCCACATAGGACACATACAAAACCAAAGAGAAAGAGAGAGTGCAGATCCTTAGTTTTATTGTGTTTTTTATAGCCTGTGATTCCATAGCCACAATACCCAGATTCCTATGCATTATGTGCATTTCGTAATAATATACTGTCTGAGAAATGCCGATTTTATTGTGTTCCAGTTGTTGACACGTTTTCCAAATATGTGGGAATGCCAAGTATAAAGACTTTGCTTTTTTCCTTTTCTTTTTTTTTCCTTTCTCTCGCAAAGTATTTCAGAATGCTGTTAAATATATTATGAACAAAATCACTTCTCTGTTCCTATATTTACTTAAAGTATTGCTTCAATTTCAGTGCTTCCTGATGAATGGGAGATTTTCCATGATTGTTATGTAGTATGCTTCATATGTATTTTTTGTTTCTTTATTCATTCAAAGACTGTGAAATCATGTTATGGAATAGTGTGCAATATAAATCACTTTGTGTACATTTTTTTAAAGTGTTTAATATGTTTCTACTGTATTTTGGTACATTATTATGTTCAAGAATATATTTACATTTATATGGCAGATTTAAGCTGGTAAGGTATGCAATGGAAGCCATATTTAAAGCTGGGGAAAAACAAGGCCCAAATATAGTGAGCAGCATTAGAAATATTACAAATGAGTAATCGAAATGATCACATTGGTGGTCTCTCTGTTTATATGTAAAGTGAATTTATAATTTATTATTTATTTATATTGGACTATATTCTAAATCCACTTTCACTGTAAGTTCCTAAATTAACAAGCATTTCATAGATGTGTTAACCATAGGGTTATTGACAGCACCTGATTTTTCATAGTGAACTGTAAAATTTGATGTTACTATTTATTTTGTATTTCAACAGAGGCTAAATTTATTGCAGCCCATCCTGTTGCAGACACCTATAATCCAGATGATGATAAGATGTATTTCTTCTTTCGAGAAGCTACTACAGAAGGCAGCACTAGTGATAAAACTGTTTTCTCCAGAGTAGCCAGAGTGTGCAAGGTGAGATCCTTTGAATAACCTATTATTGTACAAATAAAATATTAACTTGAAATTTGACATTCAGTGTGGATATACAGTGTACACACTGGTTACAATTTAATACTGTGTAATGTGATTACTAAACAACACCATTAAGTATCAGATTTTCCTGGCAATTATTTCTTTCAAGCATGGAGCAATTTCTTTCAATCATTACTATTCAAAAAAACTAAAACATTGCTATGGACTCCATGAACTGCCGTCTGTTAGATATCTGTGGAACGGCAGCGTGTGCTCAGGGTGGAGACTTTATTAAACTGTTCTGAATTTGACTGTTAACCTTGTTGCTAAATGTTGCATTTAACCATCATCTGCTACACTGCTAATTCATTTTCTCATCATTATCTCTGCACTTAAGATTTCATTTCAGCTCAAAGGTTTTGCTGTTGGTAGAGAAACTTTTTTTTTTCCTGAATATTTGTCGGGAAATTCACTAATGAAGGTGCAGGAAACTTTGATGGAGCCTTCCTGGAGTTTCCACATGTGTGTTAACTTGGCTGGAATGCAGGCTTTAGAGCTTGTGTGTTTAACTGAGGAGAAGAGCTTGGGGAATGTAATTGACAGAGATATTCTGTACACAATGTGGAAGACATTACCTTTTCTTATATATTTGAAAAACAATAAGACTGTGCACTGTTTTCACAGTTACAAAAGCTGTTTTTGTCTTAACACCATTTTGTTTTGCTGCTTAAGATTCAGTCTTCCATTTGAATTTTCAATAAGAAATAATACCTTCATTATGGAGTGAGACTTCTGGATTGTTTTTTACATTTCTAGTCATTATGTTTTAAATTGATAATGAAACCTCAGTGACTCCACAATTAGAGGTACTAGAGTAATGTTTAATCTTATTTTACCCTTATATCAAATATCTTAAAATGTCAATGTTTATGACAAAGCATACTGGGAAGGTCAACCTAATTATATATTTAACTTAATACAGTATGAGCAGCACAAACAGCTTATAAAGGGCATGTCATTAATTCTACAAGGTTTTTAAATATTTTCAAACCATTCTTATGCCATTCTTCCAGCAGAATTATCTACACTTGATGTTGTGACAAGGTTAATAGTATTTGGAATTGAACTACATAACTTGCCAACTCTGGCGCTGATGAATGATGAGATCTAGGGATTCCTCTAGTAGGGATCCCTAAGCTGAGGGAAGTCTGTCTCATGTTCCTTAGTCAAGGACACATTGCCGGGCACCGAGAGAGTCTGTTTATGTAACTGGGAATCCCTAATATTTTTAAGTGGAGAACTCCGAGTTGCGTTGGCTGCACAGGAACAAGTATTGTATCAACAGGGCCAGAAACAGCCATTGTAACATCAACCGGACAGGAAATTATCTGAACAATATGCTGCTGGTGCTTCCCTCCACCCCAACAGCTTTTTGCATTTCCAGGATTGTCAAAGATATTTTCTTCATTCTACTGGATGAGCCTTAAACAAGAGTGTTTTTCCCAGACCCCCACATCATGTAATATTGCCAACTAACTAATCCATGCAACCTTCTTGTCCACAGTTTATTTAACAACCCACAGCTACCATCCCCACCAGCACCTTTTCCTGTAATAGAAGCCACCGCAAATATGTGTTTTCCACCACAGATATGCATGACCCATTGAGGCATTTTAAAATCATCTGGAGAACAACTTGCATATCAAGTACTTACTGCATCTGTTAAAGAAAAATCCCTGCCTTTACATTATTTGCATTGGTGAGACACGAAGACGACTGGCTGGACAATTCAGGGGATCAAAGATCTCTCTAATCCGATAGTTCCTCATTTCACTTCTCCTGCTCATGATTTTACTTTTCTTTCTGAATCCTTTTACAGTTTTCCTTCTGTAGTATTCAAGAAAAAGGTCAGAGATCAAAATTATCCTGAAAATGTGACAACAGACTATTTTTATTTTCTTTTTGTAACAAACTACTGTATATTTCTTCTTTTAAATCCTCTCCATTAATTAAAATTTCAAATTCCCACACTTCTCCTAGTACCTCTTCCTGTACTTATTCTTTCTCACCTGTATGCCCATTCTCACCTACTCTGTTGTTTGTTCTCTTGTACTTTATATTCATGTCACCTTTCTCATACTCATACACACACCCAAAGAAAGCTCGACAGCCAAAGTGTTTCCACTGTGTTTCTCCTAGTTTTCAGCATGGAATTTAATCATTACTTCTTCCTAACATTTTAGCCAGTAAACATATCAAATTTGTTGCAATATTGGACCACATATATTGATGATTTAAGATGTTTTATTATATTCTTGCTTTAACCACAATATTTTTTTTTTCAGATTTTAAGATGCTGTTTATAGTTAAAATACAATTAATCAAAATAAGGGTTTAATTATCTATTGCTGTGTTTTTGCATAGACATCTGAACAAATGTGTTCAGAAGTGGTACTGTATGTTTTTCATATGGTAAAATGATGTGAGAATATATTTACACATGACATTTTACTGAAACAGTGTAAGTGCTGGAGTGTTTATTCTCATGAAACGTCCTTCGCCTTGAGAACTGCTACAGTTCCACCTTACAGGACTTGCACCAGTCCATTAAGGGTTCATGCTCAGTTTCTAATGCACTCTGGCTTCATACCCAAGTCAACAAAAAAAATATTTTTGCACATTTTTTCTACCAAGTGATTATATTTTGAAACAACTGTTCCATTCATTAACATACACACCGGTGTGTGGTCACATTTAGTATCTCCTTGTGTAAATCATACAACACCATAAATGAGCTACATGCACTGAATGACCCTCTTGTCTGTAAGCATTCTTATGTTTTTTTTTTTTCAATAATATCTGTTATAAATCATCCATTTTGGAAGATATAACTTCAGAAATACAATTTCACATATTTCATAATCATTAAAAATATGGATTTTACCCTATCAGTCTATAGTAAAAATGAATAATGAATTAATAGTATCACAGGTCTTAAAATATAATCACACACTGTGATTTTAATGTAGGTACCGTAGAACTTTATTTCACTGTAAGGCAAATTGAATGATAAGAGCAAAATTACATTGTTGTACATAAATTGATGATTTTGCTATGGGAGTAGGTTTTCATTTGAGCTTCAGTTTTCAGGTTTTGACAACCAGCTACTTGTCCTGATTTGGCCATCTTCAAAGACCAAATCATCAGGAAATATGTACTTCTACAATAACTCAAATATACAGGCTAACATTCATATTTTGTTTTTTGCTTGCTTTTATTGAGAATGCATCTGTTGTATTTGTATTAGGAATCCAATCACCAACTTAAAATCACTTTATTGGCCATATACAATTTCTTTTATATGTTCTTTTCACATACCCCCAACTCCATGAGAGACACAGACAGAGAGAGAAGCTTGGGGTCAGAGCGGAGGGTCAGCCATTTATACAGCACCCCTGGAGTTAAGGGCCTTGCTCAGGGGCCCAACAGAGTAGGATTCCTCTGCCGGCCAGGATATGAACTAGCAACCTTCCAGCACCTTCCACAGACACATATCTTCAGCCACAGAGCAACTGCACCAGACTGCACTGCCCCTTGTTACTTGTTTTGTATCTGTGCATTATCAGTATGAAATCTGAAAAATTGCTGCTAGAATCTACTAACTGCTGAACTGTATCATTATCTCTCTTAGTTAATCCTGTCATAGAAACTCTAAAATGCAGCTCTTCTCCTGAATTGATAAATGGCATCCTTTTTTTTCACTACAGCTCATGTTTGAACTATTGTTTACCATTTCCAGTCCTAACAAGAGTGTGAGTTAATTGAGCACCCCCCTTTTTAATTAATTTGTTTTTCGCTTTTTAAATACTCATACAGTATGTATGATGAAAGTGCCAAAGCCTGACAAGCAGGCATTCAAATTAAATTTCTAACAGCTATTTTTAGCCAATATCTTGCTCCACCGAAGCATTACGTTTCCCAGCTGGAAGACCTCAGCTTCTTACGCTCTGATTTAAGAAGATCTCTGCTCAATTTTAAAATTTGCTGCAGAGATGGGCCTTTGCTTTTCTGCACATCTTGTAATCCTTTCTTTCAGAGTGTTAATTCTTGCCTGCTCAAGAAAGTGTCAACATCCATCCAGCCATTTTCTAACCACTTTATCCAATATAGGGTTGTGGGGGAGCTGGAACTTTCTCTGGCAAGCAATAGGCACGAGGCAGGGTGCACCTTGGACAGGACACCAGTCCATCACAGGGCACACAGACAGACATACACATACTTGCACGTCTGTTCAGTTTTCTCTGGAGCCAATTAACATACTAGTATGTCTTTGGACTATGGGAGGAAACTGTAGCACTCAGAGGAAACCCAAAAGGACAGCCAATGCTAACCACTACACCATCAGGCCACCCCCATATACTGTTATAACCAAATTAGAATCATGATTGTCCAATAAAAGAAAGTGCTGTACATCTACTAATATTCTTTAGCTAACTCAAAGATTCCTAGATGAGTTATAAATGTGTATATTGATGCTGTTGTGGACTTCTTGCCAGCTCTATTCAAGTTTGAAGGGCAATATAAAAAAAGTTATGTGTTTTATAACTCTTGTTATACTTGGAAAATATTATTTTCTTGTTGAAGTTTCTAAGAATTTGTAAATATCTGCCATGAGAATTATTATCTAGTAGATTACTACTCAGAGAAAACAGTACTTGTCATCTCTGTTAAAGTGAGCATCACAGTCCAGGTGAGAGCGAAGCAGATGTGTTGAGTACAAATACACTTGTAGTTCACAATATTTCATTAGCATACAGTACGTTGACTCTTTACTAATTATAATGTGGAAGTCTATGTATTAAAAATGCAACACAGTCTATAAAATAACATATGCGAACAAACATATGCAATTTTTTTCTGTATGCAACCTCTTTGACCCTTAAATATAATTTTTATAATTTGGTGCTGTCAACAGAAAGGTTCCTCGCATGATACTAGTGTATGTGTATGTAATGGTAACACTGATGCCCTGTACAAGAAAGGTCAGAGCCAACTCTATTTTCTTAGGAGACTCAGGTCCTTTGGTGTGTGTGGAACACTGCTACACATTTTTTATGAATCAGTGGTGGCGGCGGCCATCTTCTACGCTGTGGTGTGCTGGGGCAGCAGCATCATGACAAAAGATGCAAATAGGCTCAATAAACTCATCAAGAAGGCTGGCACTGTGCTGGGGATGAGCTTTGACCCCATGGAGGTGGTGGCTGAGAGGAGAATGCTGACCAAGCTCACAGCCATCATGAACAACACCTCTCATCCGCTTCATGGGACTGTTACTGGGCAGCGGAGCACTTTTAGCAATAGACTGCTCCAGCTACGGTGTTCAAGGGAACGTTTCCGCAGGTCTTTCCTCCCGGCGGCTGTCAGGGTGTATAACGCTGCCCTAGGCTAGGACTTTTAGCCCTTCATTTGCTCCTCTATGGACAGCATGTTTACTCCATTGTACTTTTTGGACAATCAGCCTGTATAAACCTATGCACATTTTGCACATATTTTATTGTTTTTACAGTGACTGTGACTATGATCAGCACATTTTGCACACACCTATGTATTTATTTTTATTTATCTTGTTTGTCTTTTGTTTAATAACTATTCTGATGTCTGTTTTGCTTGTCTTGGGCTGGACTGCTGTTACACATCAATTTCCCTACGGGATTAATAAAGTATTATCTATCTATCTAATGAATGTGATGGGTGACTACATCCCTCTAAAAGCTTTCTCATAAGAACATAAGTATGTAAGAGAGGTTACAAATGAGAGGAGGGCATTAGGACTATCTTGACCAATTGGCACTCAGTAACTAATTGATTAAGAAGCTAATCCAGAAAGAATCCTTGGTTTCAGATTCTTTAACAAGGCAGAGCACATTGTTCCATGCTCTTTATACTCCAAAGTGAGTAATAACACGAAAATGAGACCTTTCTTTAAGGTCTCATTTTATGTTATTAATGCCACTATCAATACTGTTATCAATTATAAATACATTTATAATATCAACAAACCACAATTTAGCACTCATAAAAAATATTTTTTACTGTTTTTTGTTACGTTTCATGTTCTGTCACCAGTGTGACATGATATCACAGTATATTTGAATATCACACAATTACTATTATATCTTCAATATTTTCTGTTCCATTCAGATCTACAAGATAAGATATTGTTTATATGTGTACTTAGGTTTTTGCATTACTGCATTTATGTTTTGAGTCACCTGCAGATGGAGTATATGCAACCGCTCCATGGCTTAATAACATGAAGATACATGTAGTTTTATTGTGGTGGTACTAAACATTTCAGTTTGAAAAAAAAAATACTTATTTTTTTAATAGTTCAACAGTTTGAGAAATGATAAACATGAGTAATGGAGATATAAGTCTGCAGAACCCAAACACAAGGACTTTTGACAACTTGTGGATATAAAGATTAATGGAATTCAATTTCATGTACAGTACCATCCAAGAAACTGCAGTAAAACAAAAAAAAGGTTTCATGTCACAAAAACAATGAAACTTTCAAGAAAGTTTGTCATTTAAGATTTTACATATTGCTTCCAGACAAAAAGTTTTTGTTTAATTTTATTAAGATACATAGCAGATTTTTCAGTTTGCTGAGTTTAAACTCTAAAGTAACTTAAAAAAGTTAAGTAAAGTAAACATTTCTCCTTTATTTACATTTAATTTGATTTCAGAATGATGTAGGAGGTCTAAGAAGCTTGACCAACAAATGGACAACATTCCTTAAAGCTAGATTGGTCTGCTCCATCCCTGGGCTGGATGGTGTTGATACCCACTTCGATGAACTCCGTAAGTGACTGTTGGATCCCGAATAGTGTTTTAGGCAGGCTGATTGAACCATAACATAATTTTCTTTTGTGTGTTTGTTTTTAGAGGATATTTTTCTGCTATCAACAAGAGATTACAGAAATCCTGTTGTTTACGGAGTGTTCACAACAACAAGGTACACAGTCACATTGCTTTTCATTCACAGCAGCACAGGCTACTCACAGAACTACTGCACCTTCTTTTTCAAGTTTTTTGTGATTTATGATTGACTAATGCAGTCACCTCTTGTTAAAATGATTAGTTTTGTCTTGAACGGTAAGATTTGTTATTGTAGGTATGAAGTAGCTGATAAATACCAGGGACTATGGCTACTGTTTTCAGTGCCTGTTATTTATTTTAAACCAATATCTTCTCAGTTCAATATTTAAGGGCTCTGCAGTCTGTGTATACAGCATGGCTGACATCCGTGCTGTCTTCAATGGACCATATGCCCACAAAGAGGGGCCTGACCATAGATGGACAGAGTATGAGGGGAGAATACCCTATCCTCGGCCTGGGACTGTAAGTACAATCTTTTGCAATTGCTATTTTCAACATCCTGAAGTTTGACAC